CCCTCCCCCCTCCCCCCAAAAAAAAATTTAAGTTTGTTTTTTAAAAAAAATTTCAATTTCAAAAATTATTTTCTACTCTAGTAAAAATAAAAGATATTTCTCAAAAATAGTTTTCATTCATAAATCAACACTAAAAAAAATTTCCGAATAATATTTTTTACTCACCAACAAACATGAAAAAATAAGTCAAAAATCAACTTGTTTTTCAGGAAAACATTTTCCTTCATACCAACCACACCCTAATAGTTGCCCAGCCATCTCTTCTGCTGTCACATTGGCAGTGTCGATCAACAATTCCTCAATCACTGCTAAAAAAACAGTAAAAACCAACCTCCAAAAGAGATCAGAAAAAACCAACTTCAGGAGGTTGGTTTTTCAATCAAGATATAATTATATATATTCTTCCCAATTTTTCTGTAAGTAATACTTTATTCTTGAAAGTAATAAATATTGACTGGTTAATATAAAAATATTTAAGTAAAGAGTACATACACTGATACACATATTTGGTGTACAAAAATAATTTTTATTTATTCAAATTCTAATATTAGTTCATCCCAAAATATTTAAAATATTTAAATTTAACTATATTTGAAATGAAAAAATAAATTCTTTATATTGTCAAACTTTTTAGTAACAAAGAGTAAAGGAAAAAAACACAAATACTTGTTAGATATATAATAATTAGCCAAATTTTGTGTTCTCCATTTTCTTTGTTACTAAAAAGCTTGATAACATAGAAAAAAATAAAAATTATTACTATTATTTTCAAATATAGTTAGACTTAAATATTTTGGAATGAGCTAATAAAAATTTGAATAAGTAAAAGATGATCCTTTTGAACAAATAAAAGAATTAACTAATTAGTAAAAGAATTCAATTAAATTTACGCTTTGAACATGAGACGTCCACATATTTCTTATCTCTTCAAACTGTGCCTCTATCACTTCAAAAGTCACTCATTTGGTCAATAAAATATGTAGTGACATTTGATTTAGTCCACGGAGACATTTTCTTTTCCTCATTTATATGATATATTAATAATTCAAACTGTGCCTCTATCACTTCAAAAGTCACTCATTTGGTCAATAAAATATGTAGTGACATTTGATTTAGTCCACAGAGACTTTACTTTTCCTCATTTATATGATATTAATAATTCAAAATTCAACGTAAACATCCAACATTAATTACTCCCTCCGTCCCATTTTATGTAGCAATATTTGATCGGACACGGGTTTAAGAAATAAATAAAGACTTTGAAATGTTTACCAAATTACCCTTCAAAAAATAGTCATATTAAAAAGTAAACTCATTTTTCTCTCTCCTCATAAATATATTGGAGTACCATCTTTAAGATTAAGTGGAATCAACAAGGGTAAAAGATGAATTGTACTTTTAAATACTTATCATAAAAAGAAATGTGACATTTTTTTTGGAATTGACCAAAAAGGAAATGGTGTCACACAAAATGGGATGGAAGGAGTTTGTAGGTAAATAGAACTACCGACTTGTTGTTGGGTAATAATTGCCCTGAGTTTCTTACCATAAATAGGTTTTCTTTTTAGGAATTTTTTTTTGGATTGGCTCTATTGAAGATTATGTGAAGAAGGTGGACAAATTTATTTTGTTAAAAATTCAGGCCAAGGGGGAAATTTGTTGGGTATTAATTGTCCCGAGTTTCTTACCATAAATAGATTTTTATTTTAGGAAAATGTTTTGGATTAATTAGTCCTTTTCTTGTAGGAAAATGTTTGAGACTCTATAAAAAGAAGCTTGTTCCTTCTAACTTAATCAGTATTCACAATGTAGTCATATGGGCTTTGAGAGTTTTGGTTAGGGGGGAGAATTTGTGGGACACAAGTTTGATACATTATCACTTGTGTGAACCTCTCATGTATTCTGAGTGAATTGGTTGAGATTATTTCTCTCTATATTTTATACTCTCATATTTATAGTAGATTGCTCATCTCATTTGTGGATATAGGTCGATTGATCGAACCACGTTAAATCTTTGTGTCTTTTGGTATATTTCTCGTTTGTCTTCTTACTCGTGGTCTTTTGAGATTTGCTTTGATAGCTTCTGTATGACACCTAATTATTTTACGGTCCTAACACTTGTTTCACAACAAATGCTTTTACAGATTCATAGTTGAGTGATATTTAAGTTAAAATTTAAAGTTTAATGATTTTCTATGAAAAAGAGCTCATAGTTAAGTAACTTTAGAATTAAAAATCAAAGTAGAGTGACTTCTGAGGAAAAAATGCATAATTGAGTGAGGTTCTGAGATATTAAAAGATCATTTGATATGCGGTATAAAGTGAGATATCTTAAAATGACAAATTCATTTATTTGTTCAAAAAAATAATTTTTATTTATTCAAATTCTTAATATTAGTTTTAAAATAATTAAGTTTAATTATATTTGAAATGAAAAAATAAATTCTTTAAATTGTCAAACTTTTTAGTAACAAAGAGTAATGGATTAGATATATAATTAGCCAAATTTTGTGTTCTCCATTTTCTTTGTTACTAAAAAGTTTGATAACACAAAAAAAAAAATTATTACTATTATCTTCAAATATTATTAGACTTAAATATTTTAAATATTTTGGAATGAGCTAAGATTAAAAATTTGAATAAGTAAAATATATCTTTTTGAACAAATAAAAGAATTAACTAATTAGTAAAAGAATTCAATTCAATTAAATTGACACTTTGAACATGAGACGTCCACATATTTGTTATCTCTTCAAATTTTGCCTCTATCATTCAAACGTCACACTATTAAATAGAACCCCAAGAAATGTTTTATAGTTTAAGTGATTTTTGAGTTAAAAATTAAAGTTGAGTGATTTTTCAGAGAATAAATGCATAGTTGAGTGAGGTTTTGAGATACTCTCTCTGTCCCTAATTACTTGTCAATTTTGGATTAGCACACCTATTAAGAAAACAATTATTGACA